GAGTGCCCTTCCCTCACCTAGTGAGCTGTTACTACACTTGAACTTAGCCCAGCGGCCAAGAAGTGATCATTCATTTCTTCAAGCCTCAATTCATGTCACTCCTCCAAGAAGCTTCCCTGATTTACTCTGTAAGAACACTGCTCTCTGTACTTCCTGTGCACAGGACCAATTCAACTGAGTCATGATTGTTTATTGTTTCTGTCTCTCACCACATGCAAGCCACAGAATTGGGAAAAAAAAATAACTGCCAAGCATTCCCAATAAAGGATCTGTCTATAGACTACCTAAGGTACTTTACAACTCAGTCAGAAGACAGCCCTATTGTTGTAAATGGTCAAAAGATCGGAACAGACATTTTACCAAAGTAGATATGCAAATGACAAATAAGCACGTGAAGACATGCCCAATATCATTCATCTTTAAGGAAGTGAAAAGTAAACCACAATGAGATAACTCCATAGAATTATTAAAATGAAGAAGATTTACTATAATGAAGAAGCTGGGGGCCAATTGGCAATACGGCAGTGATATAACGAGGCCCAGTTCTGGGTTTGTGTCCTGGGACATCTCTGAGCTGGACACACACGTGCACTCGTCCAGGCAGATTGACACTGGGGGTGGATTGTGGTGTGAAGACCACGGGAGGGTCTCTCTCTCCTCTCTCTCTCTCTCTCTCTTTCTTAGAAGAAATAAATTTAGAAAAGAGAGGCATAGATTCCTGGGCCCACTTGCAGAAATTCTAGTTTAACATGAAGCCTGGGAATTTTCACTTAAAAAGAGAGAGAGAAGAGGGAAAGATTGACCATACGAAGTGCTGCCAAGGAAGGGGAACACCCTGAACGCTAATACGTAGCTGGGAGCCATGTAAAATGATTCAACCACTCTAGAAAATGATTTGCCTGCTTCTCAAAACATTAACCTACCACCTGACCCAATCATTTTACTCTTAAGAATTTATCCCAGAGAAACAAATATGTGTGGCCCCACTAAAAAATTTTTTTGCCAATGCTTATAATGGCTTTATTTTAATAGTCAAAAAAGAGAAACAACCAGAATGTTTGTCAACAGGTAAATGAGTAAATAAATCACTATATACTTATATAACGTACTGTTCAGCTATACACACAATAACTTGGATGAACATCAAAATAATTACACTGAATAAAAAACCAGTACATGTGGGGTCAGCAGGTGACATGGTAGTTACAGCACTAGACTCCCACATGGTTCAAGCCCCAGGTCCGGTGGCTTGAAAATCACACTGGCCATGTATGCGTGTGTGCCTAAAGTCCTGAGAGGAGAATGGAGAAGATACTGCAGCATGGCCATCCTCCCTGAGCGGTGATTTCCACTTTCCCTCTCCCTGTCTGTCTCCAGCAAGTATACACGCCCATGACAAAAATCTTATTTAAAAAAAAAAAAAAAAAAAAGACATGCTGTATAATTCTATGTGCATACAGTCATTAGTGACAGAAAGCCAATTAATGATTGCCTTGGGATAGAGAGTAGGAGATGGAAAGGGATAAGGCCCTGCAGGAAACTTTTAGGGGTAATGGTTATGTTTAATAACTTGATTGTGGGAACAATTTCATGAATGTCAGAGCTCATGACATTGTGCAATGTAATTATGCCCATATAGTTGGCTCTGTGGCCTGGTGGTTAAGGAAGCCAGAGCCCACATGACTGACCATGGTTCAAATCCTGGCCCTAGAAGCTTGGAAAACACACCAGGCAGAAGTATGTGCATATGCCCAATCCTGACACAGAGGATGGAGAAATAAAGAAGGGCTTGCAATGTGCATACTACTGGGGGTGCTTTCTCCATCTCCCTCTCTATCTCTCTCTCTAGTGAGTATACGCATCCTCTGGTAAAAACAAAATAATAATAACAATAATGGATACCAGTTACTGGGTATCTACTTTGTGGGAGAAAAACCTTATATTATTAATCTTCACTCAAGGTAGGTATTATTCAGCCCATTTTACAGATGAGGAAGCAGAGTTAGATGGTCATGCTCTAATGTGTTCAAGCTAGGGCACTCTTTGTATTGTGATGCCTTCCCACCATGGTAAAGTCCCAGCCTATAGCCACAGGGGTAGATCCTCGGCTGCCCCTGTAAAAAAAAATCTCTTTATGTCTCTGAGACTTCTAAGAAGAATCCAGAGGAAAAGGGTGAAGCACTGGAGCTACAGATTTCTGGCACCATCATGATGAAGGTTCTCTCTCTCAGGTTGTCATTGTCACAAATTGCTCCCATCACCGATACTCAGATTAGACCCATCACAGACACTCAACCAGGCTAAGGCAGGAAGTCGGCTGTGCCCACTCCCCAGAAGATCCTCCACTCATCCGCCCACCAGCCAGAGTGTGAAGGACCCTGAGCAGACAAGAGAACAGGTACCAGTTCCACTCGTGATAAATGGAGGCCCTTTCTGGGGGCCAGACGTGCAGGCTAACCAACAAGCCTCCCAAGGATGCTGGCTCTACCTCACATTCTCCATGTAAAGCTTTTACTCTTTCTGAAATCGACCAAGTGTAACAGATGAAAAGGAATCTTGATTATCAGTGAAACGACCCTTCGCTCCTGCCTCAAACCAGCTCCAGAGGCAGAGCGCCCACTCCCACTAGGCAGGACCCACACGAATTGCTCCCTTAGCCACTCCGTCTCTTGCCTTCTGTGAGGATTTTCCAGATTCCCCCAACACTCACACACACACACACACACACACACACACACACACTCATACACTCACACCAAGACCACTTGCTGCTTCGTTCCTCAGTTAGCAGGTCAAGCACTTAAAAGCCTGTGTTCAGGCATCTGGGAACGCTGGGACACAGCAACATGAGACACAATTTCTCCCCTTAGAGTTCTTGAAGGACCTACTGGACATGAGTGGCTACAAGATGGATGGGGGCAGTGGGGAGGGCCATGGGCATACAGTCCGGATGTAGGGGGGCTCATCTCCTTGTCCTTTGTCGGACCTATATGCCAGAATTTCTTCACCAAACAAGCTGGGCTCTTTGGCTGGGTACACAGTAGGCTTTCAGTAAGTACGTGGGACCGAACTCAACACCTCTTGCCAGAGGAATAATCTCTTCCCTAGCCATGGAGGAAAATCAAACATATCCAGCTCTCTGAAAAGAGCTCTGAGAGTTCAGAGGCTGAAAAGCCCCCTGCCATTGCCACTGTGTGGCTGGACCACCTGGCCATCGCCTCACCGGGGCCACATGAACAAGTGGACTGCTCTGTAGGACTCCGCGGAGGCCCACCGCTCTGACACCATCTTGCTCTCACAGGAAGAGCCCTTGGGATTTGAAAAGCACAGTGCAGTGCCTTGTAAAGCTCCAGGCCCTCTGAGCTGCAGCTGTTCACACTGCTTCAGAGATGGAATGATTTTCCCTGAGGGAAGGGTCTCTGCCTGTTGGAACTGGATTTTTGGATCTCCCTCTGAGCAAGCCCTGGCTATAGAGAGGACTCACTAGCTTTGAGAAGCTGTGGAGGTCACGGGCAGGTGTGGTTTTCATCTCTGTTGCTCATGTGCTATAAAATCTTGGGCAAATGTCTTTACCTCTGGGAGACTCAATTTCCACTTCTGAGACATGGGGATAGGTACCTTGTTATGTTATTCAAGAATTAAAGGAGATAATGAGGACAGAGCACAAAACGCAGTGCCTGGAGCCACCATGATCTCAGTCCCTTTTTTTTCTTTTTTTGGAGAGGTTTTTTTTTTCTTATTGGGCATGTGTGCATGCCAGAAAGAGAGACAGAGCAATAGAAAGGGAGAAATCACCCCCCAGAGGGGATGGCCACGCCGCAATCCCTCCTCCTCCATTCTCCTCTTGGGATCATGGGCACACACGCACACGTGTCCGGCGTGAGTTTAAGCCACCAGGTCCGGGACTCGAACCGCAGTCGACTACATGGGAATCCAGCGACATAGCCATTATGCTAACTGCTGGTCCCTCAGTCCCTTCTTTATAAATATACCAAAAGGTCCTCTGAATAAGGTCTTAGACGGTTTCAGTGGCCTGGAAAGCCAAGGCCCTGAAGGGGCACCTCATAAATGCACTGGGCTGTGGCAGCAGACACAAGGGAGGGCCTGGGAAGGGGAGAGGCAGGGCTGATTCCCAAAGACCACCCACCATGTCCCCTTGCGAGCTGTGGGCAAGGACTCAGCGATCAAGTGACCTCCTGAGCAGATGCCACCCCCACCCCCACCTCCAAGCTGGCCTCCCTTCCTCTCCCAGAGCACACACCTTGCCTGGGGCACCAACTAAGTAACCTGCCTTCCTAAAATGAGGGTGTGGTCGCAGACTGCCACCGGTCCTTCCCACCTGTGTAATTTTCTGAACCTACAATTCTACAAAAATAAACTGGTACTTAAGGGATGACCCACTGTCTCCCCCATCCTTTCTCCTGCACCATGAAAGAGGCACAGAGAGCACACCAGGAGATTCAGAAACTACAGGAAGAAGGACAGAGGGTGGGACTGCATTATGCTAATTTAATTAGCTCTAATCTGCTGCAACAGCAGGGCTTTGAAGAAAGAAGCTTTTGTTGAAATTTCACATTTGGCAGGAAGTCTCCCCACCGTCCCCATTAGAGATTATGAGTCAAAAGCTCTGATTTCAGCCATGGCTCTCACTTCCAGCATTGCTGAGGCTTCCTTTTCACACTTCTCTGACCGACTTCTTGACTTTTCCAGGAAGGAAATGTGCCCCAGATGTTGGTCAGTAAATGGGGGTTTTCATCTGCCTTTATGAAAGGGTATCAGTAATTCACAAGCTCCCCATGGAGCAAGAGCCAGCATGAGAAATGCAGCCAAGTTTTCTCTCCACCAATAAACCAAAAGTTTCCCAATCAGGGAGCCTCACAGTAGGCTAAACATTTTCATTTTTATTATTTTAGGGGACATTCACAACTCTCTTATGAGATAATAAGGACAGAAATCTCATTCTCATTTCCTCGTGGAACTACTGTTTATTGAGCACCTACTGTTCACAGGTGTGGACATCGAGGGACACCGAGGGGGCAGGATGTGCCCGTGCCTCACAGCCCGTCAGTGGAGTGAGCCCTGGAGTCAGGGACGTGCTGGTGTAACCCGAATCTCTAAAACGAGACAAAAAAAGCCCTTGTTTGTAACATTCGCCAATTTCCATGGCATAACATTTCCCACCTCGGTCTATTCCAAGCTGCCATTTTTTTTTTTTTTAACAATTTTTAAAACCCAGTTTGTAAAATTCCTGAATATTTAACAATGAGCTCTAGGGAGTTCCCGGATAGAGGCAAGTTCTTCTGGCTCCTGAGTGCCCTTTCTGCCTCCCCTCTCCACTTCCATTGAGCAGTCTTCATTCTGTGGCAACTTGAAGAGCAACTTAATGAAAAACCCCCTGAGTGTCGGTAACAGACTTGTTTCATTTTCTTCCACATCAGTATTTTTCCAAATGTCCTAAGAGCACAAATTATAAGCAGGACATATAGGCAATTAAAATCATCTTTTAGTGGGATGGTTTCAATAACCTCCCTACATAACCCGTCACGGTCTCCCTGGGGTCAGGGAGTGTATGTGAGGGTGTGTGTGTTTCCTAAGAGGTAAACTCCCCTACAGAACGCAGCAGGTACTCCAGTACTCGCCCTAAATCGGATACAGTTTTACTCCGAAGATAAATTCATTTCACTTGGAGTTCAACTTTTACCAGCAGTTGAGAAAACACAACTCCTCTGGATTCCAAAAGACCTGTTGTGACAAATAAAATGCCTCTTTGGCCACCAAATAACCTTGCCTCCCAATGGGCTGAGGTCAAAACAGATGATATGGCTAAAACAGAAACAACTTTCCTCATTCTTGAGTTGTACAGAAAGGAGTTCCTACTCCCTTCTCTGCTAAATGGGCATTCTGTCCTCTCTTTCACCGAGCTGAGATTCAAGGGGTCTTACCTCAGCGCTGGGATGGAAACCTGGCATGAGGCTTGGGATAAGCTCAGGGGAGCCAGTTCCTCTCAGCTGGGCTCATGGTATTGACTGCTTCTCTCTGGGCTGTGTGCTGTGGAGCTCTGCCCCACTGGCGCTATCCCCACCTACAGGGGAGACAAACACAGCCAAGTTCAGGCCCTGCACCAGCATGTACCTGCAGGAGGGTAAGCACCCTGCTGCTCCCCTGCCAGCCCGGTCACTCCTGCCATAGAGCCCCTTTTAGAGCCACAGCCCTGACTGGAAGGAGCCAGCCTCCCTCACACCTTCCATCTGTTCACCCAGACCCGCCCCTCCTGGGGCTGCCCAATTTCAGAGTGAGCTGCAGGTTAAGCAAAGTGAACTCTACCACAGTTACTGAACCCTTGTGTTACTTGCTACTAGAAGGAAAGAAAAACAAGGGTATGAACATTTCAGCTCCAGCCTACATTTTGTGTTTAGATAAGGACGATGGAATTTCAATCAATGAATACATTGAACTTGCTCTCTTTTTTTCATCTTCACTAACATTTACACGGTTACAAATGCAAATTCAATTTCTAACTCATGTGGAGAGCATTTTTAAATAAATCTAAAAATTTTTTTGAGAGGTTTTTGCTATAGGGCACATGCACTCGCCAGAAAGACAGAGACAGAGAGATAAAAAGTGAGAAATCACCCCCCCCCGGGGGGGGGGGGGGCAGGGCCAGCACAATCCCTTCTCCTCCATTCTCTTCTCGGGATCTTGGGCATGTGGTATGAGTTTAAGCCACCCGGTCCGGGACTCGAACCGCAGTCAGCTACATGGGAGTTCAGCGACATAGCCACTACGCTAACTGCTGATCCCCTAAGTCTAAATTTTCATCCCATATTATTATAGCCATCTGAGTGGGCAGCATTTGTTTTAAAAGTAATTACATTTTTGGGGTGTGGTGGTGCCCGCCCTATGGCAAAAGTAATTGCATTTTTCCTTGTACCAAGATAAATATATGTTTAATCTACACATTTTAGAAAATATAATTAAAGGAAAAGAAAGAAAAAAGTTACCTTTTCTTTCTCTGCCCCAGATAACTACAGATACCATATCCTTCTCTTTTATTTATATAGTTGTTGTCCATATTTTTTATAAAGATGTGATAAAGCGAGACAGGATTTTAGTCCCAGGTCATTAGGTACGTTCTGCAGCACCATTTTAATGGTCTCTGCAGTGTTAGTTTAGTGTCACAAAATACGTATGTACCCATGAACCCCACGATCTATGTATGGTACTTCATGTTACTGTACAATAAATTGTACCCAACCTCCAAACACTGAGCACTTTTTAAGTCATTTTCAACTTGTTTCTGCTAATCACAAATAGTATTTAAAGCTAAATCTTTGGTGATAACCCATAATTATTTCCTTAAGACCTAGTCTTAGAAGTTAAATTGCTGGGTTAAAGAGCTTCTGAGCTTCCTGGGCTCTTGGGCAATCTTGGCATGCCACTGCCAGCACTACTGTGGCACAGAAACTTCCTAGCAATAGGGAAATGTGCCCATTGCTTTAACACGCCTCTCCTCCCCCACTCCCTCCCTCATCCACAACCTGGCTCACCAAGGGATTGAGCTCACATTTCTAGTGGAAACAAACGTGGAATTGCAGGAGTCAGACTTTTCATGCTTACACTCAGCTCAGCCCAACTAAGACAGTCCTAAAACAGGATCAGTGATGCTAATCCTAATCAGGGCTAGGGCAGGCCAGCATAAGTAAGAATTGGTAAGTGGGGGAAAGTAAGAAACCCACTGAGGACAGACAAGGAGTGACAGATACACAAGGACCGTGTCCAGGGGAAAGAAACTCTCAGAAACAAAGAAACACAAGAGTCATCACCTGAGAGGACAGATGCTGACAGGAGCCAACATCAGATAAAAACTAAAGCTGTAGGGACCAGTAGATGGCATAATGGTAACGTCACTGGACTCCCACATAGTCAACCACGGCTCAAGTCCCAGACCCAGCAGTTTAAAACTCATGCCAGGCACATGTGCATGTGTCCCAAAAGCCCAAGAGGAGGATGGAGGAGAAGGGATTGCCATGTGGCCATCTACTCTAGAGGGTGATTTCTTGTTTTCTGTCTCTCTGTCTCTCTCTGTCTTTCCAGTGAGTGTACGTGCCCTATAGCAAACATCTCTCTGAACAAACAAAATAAAAAAACTAAAGTTGTAGTAAGCCATTTGAGGAAATGAGAATGTCAAAATATCACAATTTGTATGGAGTCACAAAAGACCTCAAATAACCAAAGGGGTCTACCAAAAGGAGTTGGTAGAACAGCAGTAAAGGGAACTGGATCCCACATGGTCAATTGCAGTTCAAATCCTGGCCCTGGTGCCTTGAAAAACATGCCAGGAATTATATGTGCATGCCCAGAATCCTGATGGGGAGGAGGAATGGGGGAAAAGGAGTGTGCTGTGGCCACTCATTGGGGAGGGAGGGTGCTTTCTCTCTCTCTCTCTCTCTCTCTCTCTCTCTCTCTCTCTCTCTGGCAAGCACATGAACTCTCTGGGAATTAGAAAATAATAATAATAATAATGGAGTTGGGAGCATCATACTACCAGATTTCAAAATATACTGTAAAGCTATAATAACAAAAACAGCAAGGTACAGCAAAAACAGACATAGACCAGTGAAACAGAACCAAGAACCCAGAAATCAATCCACTGTATACAGCCGGCTGATTTTCAACAAATGTGTCAAGAATATCCACTGGAGAAAAGACAGTGTCTTTAATAAATGATGCTGGGAAAGCTGGATCTCCATATGCAGAAAAATGAAGCTAGACCCACATCTTTCACCTTATACAAAAATCTGCTCCAAATTGATTGAAGACATAAACACAAAATCTGAACTATGAAACTATGAAGAAAACACAGGAGAAACACTTCAGGACACTAATATGGGTAGGGAGTTCTTGAATAAAACCTCGAAGCACAAGCAGAAATTCACAAATGGGATTATATCAAACTAAATGAAGCAAATGAAACAATAAACAGAGTGAAGAGATGACCCAGAGAATAGGAGAAAATATTTACATAGTACACATCTAACAAGGGGTTCATAACCAGAATATACAAGGATCTCGAAGAACTCGGCAGCAAAAGAACAAATAACCCAGTTTTAAAATGGACAAATGACCTGAATAAACAGTTCTCAAAAGAAGACAAATGGCTTAGAAACATGAAAAAATGCTCAGCATCACTCATTATTAGGGGAAAGCAAATAAAAACCCCAATGAAATATCACTTCATCCCAGTTAGAATGCCTATTATTAAAAAGAGGCCCAGCCACCGAGGTGCAGTGGTAAGGCAAGTGCCCTGTAAGACGACGCGGCCACATGAATGACCATGGTTCCGATCCCTAGGTCAGCTTAATAGCATGCCAGGCAGGTGCACAGGCAGCACTCAGGATCCTGAGGAACTGCAAGGCTACAGAAAGAACATGATGTAATGAGACCCTGTCCAGGGTGCTTTCATTTCTTTCTCTTGTGCATACATGTGCTATTATAAAATATGTAAGTTGGGACCAGCAGTTGGAGTAATGGCTATGTCGCTGGACTCCCATGTAGTCGACCACGGTTCAAGTTCCGGACCTGGTGGCTTAAACTCACACTGGGCACATGTGCATGCCTGCCCAAGATCCTGAGAGGAACATGGAGGAGAAGGGATTGTGGCGTGGCCATCCCCCCTGGGGAGTGATTTTACTTTCTGTCTCTCCGTCTCTTTCTGGCGAGCACACATGCCCTCTAGCAAAAACCTCTTTTTTTAAAAAAAGCTGTAAAATATGTAAGTAAATAAATAACAAGTGCTGGTAAGGATGCCCAGAGGGGGCATTCTTTTATACCCTTGATGGAAATTAGCAGAGCCATTATGGAAAAGACTACAGTAGCTTCTCAAAAAACTAAAAATAGAACTTTTTTTTTTTGAGAGGTTTTCGCTATAGGGCGCATGCGCTCGCCAGACAGAGAGAGACAGAGAGACAGAAAGAGAGAAATCACCCCCCCAGGGGGGATGGCCATGCCGCAATCCCTTCTCCTCCATTCTCCTCTCGGGATCTTGGGCACGCACGCACACGCGCCCGGCGTGAGTTTTAAGCCACCGGGTCCGGGACGTGAACCGCGGTCAACCACGTGGGAGTCCAGCGACATAGCCATTACGCTAACTGCTGGTTCCCTAAAAATAGAACTTTTGTCTGATCCAGAAATTCTACTACCAGGTAGATATCCAAAGGAAAGGACTCTCAAGGCAAGAGAACCAGCTTGGATGCCTACCAAGACTTTGAGAATCGCTACAAGAAAAACACCTTGTCGTGAAGGTTCCCAGACGGGGGATGGTTTCCAGATGAGGATCCACAAGGGACTCATTGATTTGCACGGTCCCTCTGAGATTGTTAAACAGATTACTTCCATCAGTACTGAACTAAGAGTTGAGGTTGAAGTCACCATTGCAGATGCCTAAGTTAACTACTTGAATAAATTGATAATCAGTTTTTTAAAAAAGTAGAGAAATGAGGAATAACTACTAGAATCTGGGAAGGCCAGAGAGGGGGCAATAGAAGATGTTGATTAATGGAAACAAAAATATAGATAGGTAAGAGAAACAATGTCTAGTATGATAAAATATGATGGTGGGGTAATATAGTTAATGACAACTAATTGTATATCTCAATCTAGCTAAAAAAAGAAGATTTTGAATGTTCCTGACACTAAGTAATGACAAATGGTTGAAATAATGGTTGTAGTAATTCCCCTGACTTAATCATTACACATTGCATTTGTGTACTAAAAAAATCATACCTCCAGAAATGTGTACAATTATGACATGTTAATAAAAAAGAAAAAACGAACACCACTGAAGGACAGAGAGGGAGTGGTACAGAAGGACAGTGCCCAGGGGAAAGAAACCCTGTGATGCAAATAGAAACAGCTATCTATGAGAGGACAGACGCTGATAGGAACCAACATCAGATAAAGCCCAGGCTGAAGTGAGCTGTTGGAGGCAGTGGAAATGTCAAGGTCCCACAAAGATACAGGCAAGAAAGAAAAAAACAAAAACAAAGTATCAGGTGAGATGAAAAAAAAAAAAAAATGTTGCTT